TGGTGGAATCCAAGCAGCTGGTGTTTCTCGGACAAGAGACTGTGTCTGCGGGAAGCAGAGGGGGCCGAGTGTGGGTGAAGAAGGGTAGGGAGTGGAAAAGCGTATATCACAAATTAACGGAGCTCTGCAGCCCCTCAGGAGGAAGCAAAGATGGCACACGGAGCCAGGTATTTGAGCAAAAGGAGGGCTTAGTTTTTCGGATCTTTGCTGTGGAGGGACGGCGTGGTGCTTCTGACTAGAGTGCCATTTTGCCAGAAGCGCCCTTCTATTTCTAATGTTTTGTGTTTTTATTATGAAATGGTGTTGGATTTTATCAAATGCTTTTCCTGCATTATTGAGATGATCATGTGACTTTTTAAAAATTCTATTGATATGATGTATCACATTAATTAATTTTTGGGTGTTGAACCAACCTTGCATTCCTGGAATAAATCCCACTTGGTCATGACTTATAATCCTTTTCATATGTTGATGGATTTGATTTACTAGTATTTTGTATAGGATTTTTGTGTCAATATTCATAAGAGATATTAGTCTATAGTTTTCTTTTCTTTTGATGTCTTTGCCTGCTTTTGGTAAACAAGCCAATACTGGCCTCATAAAATACGTTGGTAAGTGTTCCCTCTTCTTCTATTTTTTGGAAGGGTTTGTGAAAAATTGGTATTAATTCTTCTTTAAATATTTGGTAGAATTCACTGGTAAAACCACCTGGGTCTGGACTTTTCTTTGTGGGTAGTTTTTTTGATAACCAATTTAGTCTCTTCATTGTTATAGGTCTATTCAGATTGTCTATTTCCTCTTGAGTCAGTTTTGGTAGTTTGTCTTTCTAAGAATTTGTCCGTTTCAAGTAAGTTATTAATTTATTGACCTACAGTTGTTAATAGTATTGTTTTATAATTTTTTTTATTTTGTAAGGTTGGTATGGATGTCCCCTTTTACAAGACAGTATTTTTAAATGTTTAACATTTACAAAGCTAAATCCTAAAATCTCTACTATTGGAATGCCCTAGTTATTTTGATTTCTGTTAACTGTTCATTTGTTTTTCATTCAAATACAGTTCTTAGAAATTTTGCTAAGATTTTTACCAAACTTTAATCTACCTTTTTCCTTTAAGGGTAAGAATATACTAAACACATCTGTATCCTGATTTGGTAACTTGGGGCTCTGCAGTGTCTCCACGTTATCATTTAGAACATCAAGGAGCCTGCTGAGGATGGAAGATGAGCAGGAGTATAAGCAATATGTGCACTAACCCAGGACTCACCTCTGAGAGGGTTTCTTCCTACTCCTTCCAGATATAGTTAATGTTGTCTTGTAGTTGAAGATTAGTGTTAACTGGATTCTAGTTAACCAAAGTTTTCTGGTCAGTATTTTTGAAACTCTTGGATCCCTTACTCAAGGGGCAAAACTTTTTTTTTTTTTTAATTGTGCTTTAGATAAAGGTTTACAGAGCAAATTCGTTTCTCATTAAACAATTAATACACATGTTGTTTTGTGACATTGTTTGCCAACCGCACGGTGTGTCAACACTCTCCCTTTCTCAAGTTTGGGTTTCCCGTTACCAGCCTTCCTGTCCTGTCCCTCCTGCCTTCTCATCCTTGCCCCTGGGTTGGTGTGCTTGTTTAGTCTCATTTTGTTTTATGGGCCTGCCTAATCTTTGGCTGAAGGGTGAACCTCAGGAGTGACTTCAGTACTGAGTTAAAAGGGTGGCTGGGAGCCATACTCTCAGGGTTTCTCCAGTCTGTGTCAGACCCGTAAGTCTGTTTTTTTTTTGTGAGTTAGAATTTTGTTCTATATTTTTCTCCATGTCTGTCTGGGACCCTCTGTTGTGATCCCTGTCAGAGGAGTCGTTGGTTGTAGCTGGGTACCATCTAGTTGTGCTGGATTCAGTCTGGTGGAGGCTGTGGTAGTTGTGGTCTATTAGTCCTTGGGACTAATCTTTCCCTTGTGTCTTTGGTTTTCTTTATTCTCAGGGACAAAACTTTTAAAATGACTTCAACCAGGCCTCTCACCATTGAGACAAAAGAGATTTCCTTCTGCACACATATATCTTTTTAAAAAATATATCACCCAGATTTATATTTGTGTTAAAAATATTTTGTGCAGTCTTAGAGTTTTCTCTTCAGTTGTGCTTGTGAGAAGTGCTAATTCTACAATACAGTACTGGCTGGGCAGTCACTTGAAATGAGGGACACAATTTGTTCAATTCAGTTTCTAAGCCCCATGTTTCTCTTTCAGGCTTTGAAATATCTAAGAGATTTACCTTTCAAGATCTGTGTGAGGAACTAAAATGTACAAGAACAAGACAATCTACAAGATCAATACAGATTACTTTCAGTTTTATTTATACTGCAATTGCCAAAAATACATGCTTTTGGATATTTGAAAAGCTACTGTCTAAATTTATGAGAACTAATATGTAATAACATGTAAATATATACCGCAGTATCTCCCAAACTTGGCTGCATATTAGAATCAATGGGGAAACTTTAAAAATCTAAATGCCCAGGCCATATTCCATATTAACTAAATCAGAATGTCTGGGAATAGGAGACAGGCATTAGTATTTTTTTAAAGATCCTTAGGTGTCATGGATTGAATTGTGTCCTCCCCCCCACCCCATAAATGTTAAAGTCCTAATCCCTGTACCTGTGAATTCCACCTGTTTGGAAATAGGGATTCTCTTTTATTATGTTAATGAGCTCCTACCTGAGTAGGGTGGGTCCTAAACTTACTCCCTTCTGAGTGGCATTTTATAAAAAGGGCAGAACAGACACAGAAACACACATAAGGGGAACACAGATGCCATGTAGAGATGTATCTACAAGCAGGTAAGGAACTGGGGCTACAGAAGCTGAAAGAGACAGGATCTTCCCTAGAGCTGATGGAGAGAGAGAGATCCTAGCCTTGTTGATGCCCTAAATTCAGACTTCTAGCCTCCAGAACAATCAAAAAATAAATTCTTGTTCTTTAAAGCCACCTAGTTGTGGTATTTTTTGTTACAACAGCACTAGGTAACTAATACACTATGTGATTCCAAAGTACAGCAATGTTTGGGGACTAGGAGCATCTGGTAGGAAATATGTAGCATGTTACTTAAAGGACTCAACTTGTAGAACACTTTGATTCACTGGGATATTTACATTTAAAATACCTCAACATTACAATAGTAAATTATTTTAAAAAAAATTAAACATAGACCTGTCAGTGAAATAAAAAATTGTTCTGTGAACTGAAAGGCCAAAATATTGCAATTCACTTCTTTTTAGGGGGAGAACATCAACAACATTTATTCACAGCTTCAAAATCCTTTTTATAAGAACAGAACCAGAAAAATACTGATGAAAGGAAGAAAGGATATAAACAAAGAAAAACTAAAATGATTTTTAACTAAGAATCGCAAATGCTCATTTTCTGAGTACACCACAAAGTTCCATTCTCTGTTCCTAGGACTTTGCGTAATTTGCAGGGACATGATGGTGGAGGGCTCGCGCTTTTAGCCTATCAAAATAAACCTGAGTGTTCCCTTTCCCAGTCCTCAGTGAAAACTGAGACTCTACCGTATTTATTTTAAAAGAAGGAAAAAAGAAAATGTGTCTAGCGGTGAGCTCGTCTGCTCTATGAACTGTTCTATGATTGAAATACCTCTCCCGATTGATCAGTCCTCATTCATCAGATTTCTCAAGTATTTAGGACATTTGGGGATTATGTCAGCCAAGACTCTTGCGCCTGTCTGGTAGAGAGTACAATTTACAATAATAAACACACTCCAGATTTGAATGAATTACCTTCCCCACAATTTGCGGACCTGTTGGGGTCATTGAGTTCTTCAAAGAGTCCCGTTTCTATAATCTCTTCCTGCCACACTACAGGGACAGCACCTGTTGCAAATCTTTGGAAGAACTTCTTATCTTTGTCATCAAATTCAACACCCCGAACCTCGGAGAAATCTTGAATGTCAGCAATGTCTTTGGCGTAAACCACAGATGGGTCTGGCACAAATGGGGGTTCAACAAGGCCGGCTTCCAAGCGAGGAAAGTTGATGGTTTTGAAGAAAGGGTGTTTCCTGGGATCATCAGATTCTTCTCTGTGAAAGAAAAGAGACGGTCAGCCTGAGGCACAGCTAATAAATCAAAATAAGACATGTTCTAAGAATACAAAGAATGCAACATACTTTTCCTATGTGTTTAGTTTTAACTGAAAAGACAATATAATGACACAAAGAATAATTCTGAAAAATAATAACCTAACATCACCCACTGTTCTACCACATGCAGACTGTAGCATTTTCACTGTTTGCAGACCACCTTCCCATGTAGATGTAACTTTTAAAGAGTCAGGCAGTTAACATGTCTTTTGTTCTTGGTGTTTCATGGCTGCTTTCACAGCCCAAAACCTTGCCAGGAAAGTTCCATGGGGCTAGAACCTGCATGCCTCCAACTTCCAGTGGTTCCTTCTTGCCCTGCCCTTCAGGGCCACATAGAACGAGTCAAGTATACCTTTGCTCCCACGTGATCACTATTCACATTTTAAAAGACGGCACTCATATCTTCTTACTCTTCATTGACACGATTTCTAGGAGCCCTTCCCCCCCACCCCACTCCCCACTGCTGCAATAATCTTGGAGGTATTTCTTTAAATACACACACACACAAAAAATTTAGTAATTGTTTTATTTGTCTACTGCTGCTATAACAGAAATGCCGAAGTGGCTAGCTTTAACAAACAGAAATTTATTCTCTCATAGTTTAAGAGGCTAAAAGTCTGAATTCAGGGTGCCAGCCTGAGGAGAAGGCTTTCTCTCTCTGTTGGCTCTGGGGTAAGTCCTTGTCATCAATCTTCCCTTGGGTTTAGGAGTTTCTCAGTGCAGGGACCCCAGGTCCAAAGGATGTGCTCTTCTCCTGGCTCTTCTTTCTTGGTGGTATGAGGTCCCTCTCCTCTCTGCTCGATTCTCTCTTTTATATCTCAAAAGAGATTGACTCAAGATACAACCTAATCCTGTAGATTGAGTCCTGCCTCATTAACATAACTGTTTCTACTCCTGCCTCGTTAACATCATAAAGGTTAGAATTTATAACACATAGGATAATCACATCAGATCACAAAATGGTGGACAACCACAACTGGGAATCATGGTCTAGCCAAGTTGACACATATTTTTGGGGGACACAATTCAATCCAAGACAGTAATATACAGTAGCATGAATGAGTATACATTTAGTGTTCAAGACTACGGATATTATTATGAAGCCTTCTTCCCCTACTATAAATTACTCCAGTATCTGCCTTGGAATAAGGAGAAAAATATGTTCCAAACTGTGTAACCTCTTATATTAGTTATCCATTGATGTATAACAAATTACCCCAAAACTTGGTGGCTTAAAACAACAAATAGTTATTATCTCACAATTTCTGTGGGTTAGAGACTTGGGTGTGGCTTAACTGAGTGCCTCTGGCTCAAGGTCTCTCATGAGGTTGCAGTCAAGCTGTTGGCCAGGGCTGTGGTCTCATCTGAAGGTTAGACCGAGGTTGGAGGTGCTTCCAAGCTTGCTCACATGGTTATTGGCAGACTTCCATCCCTTGTCATAGGGCTGTCTTATGACATGGCAGCTGACTTTCCCCAGGGCAAATGATCCAAGACCAAGAGACAGACACAGAGACAGAGCAAGAGAGAGCCCAAGACAGAAGCCACAGTCTTTCTATAACCTAATCTTGGAAGTGACATTTCATCACTTCTGCCATATCCTTTCTATTAAAAGCAAGTAGTAAATCCAACCCACACTTAAGGCAATGAGATTACACAATTGCTTGAATGCCAGGAGGTGGGGATCATTTGGGACCATCTTAAGGGCGCCTACCACACTTCCCGTGGTTCCTCTTAAGTCTAGGCTTCAAAGAAATAAAAAGGGGGTTATTTCGTGACATCACATTCAAAAAGAATTTTTTGTTTTTATTGTATGTGATTAGATTTTCTGGTGTGAGCAAGAAATGTCTTCCTTTGAGAAGAAGTCAATTTCCATCATAAATCAACCTTAATCGAAATTAATCACGTGCATGGTCTTTCCTTTTATATTTTCCATTCCAAATCTCAAAGAGTGTTCAGGAAAAGGGTTCAGAGACTCCCCCACCATGTCAACGACAACCGTAGCAGACTCTGCCTGGTAAGAAGGCTAGAGTCTAAATACTACAATGTTATTACTAACAACAAAAACAAGAATTTATCCAGGGCTTCATTTCTGCTAACCCAACATTAAGCTCTTCACTTACATTACTATATTTAACCATCACAACTACCATGTGAACTGTTTACCATTGTAAGCTCCACTTTAAAAATTAAGAAAAACTGAGGCTTAAAAGCCTCTAATGCCTGTATTTTTAACTTTTTTACTTCCTTATGCATTCATAAATAGTTGTACACCTAAGGAAACCAGAGAAAATGAGTGAAATTTTCAAAGGAAAAAATGTGATAAAATTTTATTATGGGAAAGAGAAACTAAACTTAGTTGGAAGCATCTGATATCCAGTCATTCCTCAGGTCTTTGTTCAGGCCTAGCCCCTTCCAGAAAGGTCCATCTCGGACTTATTGGGCTTTTCCCACTGTAATCCAACTAAGCAGAAAAGACAGGTATAGGGAGCTGCCTAATGAGGTGCTCATAGTGTCTCTTTTCTTCCAAAAGCCACCAACTCTCCATCAACTGAAAGAAGAGAAAATGCAGGTGTGCCATCTATTGGAACCTATTGACTGGTTTGTGTGGTTTACACCCTGCATAGTAAGAGTTTTGAAGGAGAGTTACTGAGATAAATTGAAGCTTCTAGGATGGATTTTTTTTTTTTAAGTCAAATTTATTGAGGTATAATTTACACAGTATAATTCACCTTTTAAGGATATCAGATGGATTTTAAATGTGGTAGATCAAGGATAGAGCTAGAATTCCATCCAAGTAGATCAGAAATGGAGCCCTGGTGGTACAATAGTTAAGCTCTTAGCTGTTAACTGAAAGGTTGGCAGTTTGAAGGAACACAGTGGCTCCTCAGGAGAAAAGACCCGGTGATCGGCTTCCATAAAGATTACAACCCAGAAAACCCTATGGGGATGTTCTACTCTGTCACATGGGGTCATTATGAGTAGAAATCGACTCAATGGCACCTGGCAGCAACAGTAACAGATCAGGAACGACCCCAGGCTTATAAGTTTCACAGAGAATGAAGATGTTAGAATGGGACCAGGTGCCATGAGGTTCTGCCTGAAGGCATGAACACATTCTTCCAGAGGTCAAGTTGTTCTAAACTGATGTCTACTCAGCCCCCAACTCATGTCGACCACATGTATAACAGAATGAAATGCTGTCCAGTCCTGTGCCATCCCTATGATTGGTTGGGGATGGGACTATTGGGTTCCATAAGGTTTTCAATGGCTTGTTTTTGGATGTAGATTGCCAGGCCTTTCTTCCTAGTTTATCTTAGTCTGCAAGCTCTACTGAAACCTGTTTAGCATCATAGCAACATATAAGCCTCCACTGACAGACATTTGGTGGCTGCACATGAGGTGAATTGGCTAGGAATCGAACCCAGGTCTCCCACATGGAAAGCAAGAATTCTCCCACTGAACCATTACTGCCCCTACCCAGGGAGCCTATCAAGAGGGCCCCTTAAAACTCACTCTGAGAAGTCTTAACTTGGATAAATGGAGACCGCCCAGGGGCTTGGCAACTTCGGGAGAATTGACAGGCTAATCTTTACATCAGAATGAGCAGTTCTCAAGTAGCACCTCAAGCAAACCAGGCACAGATGACCTTGGCTTGTTTATCAAGGATGGCTGACTGCAGCCTTTTTTCAACTGGTTACAAAAGAGAAGGGAGCCACAAGCCACAGTCAGGTTTCCTTTATGTTCCTCACACCCCCAACTAGTTGCCCCTTGAGGACAGGGCCCATGTCTTATATCTGTTTTCAATACATGCCTGTGGTTGCTGATGCTAACAAGGAAAGACCAGCCTTCCCAACCTCTATTCCTTACTCTTGTGTCCTGTCTACTGCAAAACTGATCACTATGATCTTTTGCACTAGTAACTCTCACCACAGTTCTATAATTAGAAATAGCATGTCTTACACTTGGATCTTCCCTGGCAGATTTGTGAGGGGCTCTTTTGGCCCATCATCATGCAGTGACTTCGGGACAAACAGGAGAAGCTATTGATGGAGGCAGCGTCTTCTATAATAACTCAACCAGCAGCTGCAGGAAGACTTCTCCTGCTTTCTGGAGGGGAATACATTTCAGAGCATCAGCAGAGGCTCTGCTGTTACACTAGATTTTCTTATATCAGCCAATGTTGTGGATTGAATTGTGTCCCCTAAAAATATGTGCTATAGATCCTAACTCCTACACCTGTGGCTCAAGCCATGGAGGTGCAATGGTTAAGAGCTTGGCTGCTAACCAAAAGGTCGGCAGTTCAAATCCACCAGCTGCTCCGTGGAAACCCTATGGGGCAGTTCTACTCTGTCCTATAGGGTCGCTATAAGTTGGAATTGACGTGAAGGTTTTTTTTTTTTTTTTTTTTAAATCAGAATAAAGCCTGCAGAAATGTTGAGAGGTTGTCACCTTTTCGTCTACTGGAAAACACCACAGTTGACCCTGTCCGGAACCCTTTTGGGTAGTTCAGGAAAGCTTTTGGCTTCTTTGCAAAACTAATTCACAGACTCAGAAATGCAAAGAAGGAAACACTCTCCAGTGATGTCTAAAGAAGAGAGGTTTTTAATTCACCTCATATACTGGTGAATGTGCCAGGGAGGGGCCTCTTGAGCCCTTGGCTGTGTAACCCGCTCTCTAGGCGTTTGTGTAGGTTTTGGAGGACATGCACTACATTTATCCAACATTATCTCTCTTAAATAAATTTTTTTTAAAGATACAAAGAGTTGGAATGAAAACGTTGGAAGGTTTTCTCTCTCACTGAGCAGCTGTTTTTTTCTATGCCTCTTCTCTGATGTTGTAAACAGTTTTATTCGAACCAGTCACAACAGATGCTTTCTAAAAAGCCTTTGCTTGATGAAGTTGCTTCAGGCAATGATCCAGTGCTTTAAGGTGGCATTTTTGTAAAGAAGTTTGTCAATAGTTCATTCTATAAACCCAAAGTATGCTTATCGAGCATGGAGCTAAAAGGTGAAAGGAAAGTTTGGGACTGGAAAAGGGTGATGGATGGACCACATGATGGACATAACGGATGCCACTGACCTGTTCGTGTGAAGATTGTTGAAAAGCGAACTGTTTTTTTACATATATATCTACAATAACAATAGTAATAGTAAACATTGAGGTAGAATTTGCAGTCAAACACAGGCGAATTGAGACATCTAAGTGGGTGGCGTTCCTTTCAGGGAAGTCATCTAAAGAGATGGTCCGCCTCCCCCGCTGACTCTGGCACTGTTCACGTGCTCTCTGATACTCTTGCAACTTGAGAACCAGTACAACAGAGATTGTCAGTGGTCACCACATCTTGTTCTCCTCTCTTTCTGGGCACCCAGGAGATAACACTAACCATCCGCCTCACAGTTAGGCAGGACCTCAGACGAGTTCTGGCCAACACACTGAGCAGAAGTGATGTGTGAAGTGTGTCACTTCCCGACTGAGGCAGTAAAATGCCCCATACTAGTTGCTGTCGAGTTGATTCTGACTCATGGTAACCCCACGTGTATCAGAGTGGAACTGTGCTCCATAGGGTTTTCACTGGCTGGTTTTAGGAAATCGATAGCCAGGGTTTTCTTTCAAGGCACCTCTGGGTAGACTCAGACTGTCAACCTTTTGGTTAGCAGTTGAGCACTTAACCTTCTGCACCACCCAGGGACTTCAAAATGCCCCACAGTTCTCTTTTCTTGACACAGCAACCAGAAGTCACAGTTCCAAGGGAGCCAGGAGCCGGAAGCAGCCTGGATCCCTGAGTCACTGCCCACTAGGGAGCTACCCTGGAGAGCAACTGAACCCATAACCAACTTCGTGTGAATGAGAAACTTTCTCATTTTCACTGGGACTTTGGGGTGGGCTTGTTATCGTAACATAGTCTATCCTAACCTTATCAACACAACAAGGTTGGGATTCTACATAGGAAAATTGGTTTTTGTACTTTACTTCCACATAAATGTAGAGTTCCATCTAATTTCAAAATAGTCAGTTTGATTTTCTGTCATGCTTTGAGAGTTACTAAAAATGAATTTAAAAAACTTCTTGTTATTTCAAAATATCAAGTAAAAAATTGAAAGCTTGACTCTCTTGAGACTACTCAAACATTTTGAGCTAAGGCAGCCTTATCCCAGAGTCTCCACTTACAACTGCTTTGGAAGATTGAAGTCATTTGTTCCTCAAAAGGTTAAACATAAGAGTTACTATATGACCCAGCAATTCCAATCCTAGGTACAGCCAAGATAAATGAAAACGTATGTCCACACAAAAACTTGTACACAAATGTTCATAGTAGTACTATTCTTAATAGCCGAAAAGTAGAAATAACCCAAATGTCCATATGTCCAAACGGAGAAATAAAATGTGGTACATCATACAATGGAATACTATTTGGCAATAAAAAGGAATGAAGTACTGATACATCATATCTTGATCTTATTATTTCATGTTAACAATAAAACTTGGCTTTCCTCAAAATTAGTTTCAACTGTACATAACACAGTTGGCAACATCATATGTACTCACTAAACATCTGTTGACAGATTGATGATATTTTATGGAAAAGTTAGAAAGAGGCATAATTTTCTGGAGCTATGCCTATCAGTTTTAATCTGATTTTTTAATAGATAATTTATTTCAATAGTTCAAAATTCGAAAGACAAAAAAGGGTATATAGTGACAGGCTCGTTTGCATTCCTGGCCCCAAACCCCTATTTTCCTTCCTCAAAGGCCACCAACTCTATGAATTCCTTGTATACCCTCCTCAAAATATTCTATGCAATATTGAATTATGACTATGAATTCATGACTATGAATGACTATGACTATGAATTACAACTATGCATCTAATATGAATTATATATTCGTTTCCTCTTTTTCACACATGCTGATTTATACCTCATTTTTTCACATTAAAATATATCGTTTGAGATTGTTCCGTAGCAAGTGCTCATAGCATTTGAAAGCATTAGAAATGCTTAACCATAGAATATGCAAATAATAATAGGCAAATAATAGTAGTATGTAATTCCAAGGCTTGGTCACTAATATAAAGCACTCCCCAAATCATTGCAGATAATGTTGACATCAGCAATCATCTCTGCTATGTGGTAGCTTACCTGCTTCCTAAGCGTTGCTCTGGTTTCTTAGCCAAGAAGAGTCTGCAAATATCTTTTGCTTCTTCTGTGAAGTTATCGTGCTCAAATATGACCTCCTGTTTCAGGGTTCTTTGCTTTAGCTCCTCTTTGCTGATCTTTTCCTTGTAATCTTTGAATGGTGTTCGTCCAGCAATCATTTCGTAAATACTGCATCCCATTGCAAACCAGTCCACAGGATAGGAATAACTCACTTCTTCCATTAGGATTTCAGGAGCCATGTAACCATTGGTTCCAGCCTGTAATACCCCAAACAAAAACAAACAAAGCAAAAGTACTAAAATGAGTATAGCAAACATTTTTAGCCAACATCTTCTCTACTGCTCTTCCCTGTTGTCTTAGTTATCTAGTGCTGCTATAACAGAAATACCACAAGCGGATGGCTTTAACAAACAGAAATTTATTCTCTCACAGTTCAGGAGGCTGGAAGTCTGAATTCAGGGCACCACTCCAGGGAAAGCCCTTCTCTCTCTATAGGCTCTGGAGGAAAGTCCTTGTCATCAATTTTCCCCTGGGTCTAGGAGTTTCTCAGTGCAGGGACCCCAGGTCCAAAGGACACGCTCAGCTCCTGGCTCTTCTTTCTTGGTGGTAAGAAGTCACTTTCCTCTTTGCTTGCTTTTCTCTTTAATATTTCAAAAGAGATCGACTCCAGATACAACCTAATCTTGTAGATTGTGTCCTGCCTCATTAATGCAACTGCCTCTAATCCTACCTCACTAACATCATAGAGGTTATGATTTACAACACATAGGATAATTACATCAGATCACAAAATGAAGGACAACCAGGCAATACTGGGAATCATGGCCTAGGCAACTTGACACACATTTTGGGGGGACACTATTCAATCTATCAAATGTTAAAATTATACCCTAAGTTTATTTAGAGTTGCAACCGATATTCTATTCTCTACTTTCCCAGCAGCCTCTGGTGCAGCCAGGGGAGACCACATTCTGACCCATGAGACATAACAGGGTGTTGGCTGGGGGCGCAATTATAAAAGGGATATATGTCACTGGCCTTGAAATAGGAAAATCATTAAGCATCTTGGCATCTCATCTTTAAGAAGAAAAGTTCCAATGGATGTCTCTAAGACTCCCTAAAGCTCTGCCTCTGTTTTCTATTCATAGATAATAGAGAACTAAACGCGTATCTTTTTAATACATTCACTGATTTAACAAATATTTAGTGGATACTTACTACATATCATGTAATTATAAAGTATATACTTACATTATAATATGTTTTCACAAAAACTATAGTTGCTTTTGGTAAAAGTACAACCTCCTTACAATGTACAACCTCCTTAGCAATTAAAAGTGTAAGCAAATAAACAAATCATAAACACCCTAAAATGATAAAAAAAATCAGTTGCCGTTGAGTTGATTCCAACTCATGGCAATCCATGTGTTGTTTCAGAGTAGAACGTCTTCGTGGGATTTTTTTTTAAAAAAAAAATTTATTTTGTTGTTGTTGAGAACAGACACAGCAAAACGGACACCAATTCGACAGTTTCTACATGTACAATTCAGAGACATCGATTATATTCTTCGAGTTGTGCAACCATTCTCACCCTCCTTTCTGACCTGCTCCTCTGCCTTTAACATAAACTCACTGCCCCCTAAGGCTTTTATCCAATCTTTCAAGTTGCTGTTGTCAAATTGATCCCATATAGGTAGATCTTAAAAAGCGTAATGCTCAAGGTAGACAGTCTTTACAGTTAAGCTAAACTATTGTTTAAGTCTAAACTATAGACTTCGGGGAATACTTTTGGTTTCAGGTCTAAAGGTTACCTCACGATTAACAACAGGAGACAGATCTGACGCACTGTAACTTGTTAACATCTAGTGGATTCCAACACCTGGTGGCCCCAGAGGTGTAGCGGGGGAGGAGCAGAGCAGAGGGGGGCACTTGCCCCCAGGTGTAAGTCCAAGGGGGCAGCAGACGAGGCATGGAATGACATTCCCAGGTGCCACAAATATGAAAGACGCCTGACTGAGGCAGCCGAATAAGAGCGGGAAGGTGTTTCTGCTGATGTGTGACTGCTATTGTCTATTCTTCCTGAAATTGGGGCGGGGTGTGGGGCACAACTTAGAGATTGCCCCTGGGTGCTCGTTACCCTCCCTACATCCCTGCGTGGCCCCATGTGTGCAGAGTAGAACTGCTCCATAGGGTTTTCAAGGCTGTGACCTTTCAGAAGCAGATCACTAGGCCTGTCTTCCTAGGCACCTCTGGGTGGGTTCAAACCACCAAACTGGGTATTTAACAGTTGAGCGCTTAACCGTTTGTGCCACCTAGGAACTGTGCTGTGACTGAGTTCCAAGTATTGTAGGCATTATCTTCACTATTTTTCAAGTATAAAATCAGACGTCTGTGCATATTTAGAAATGTTGAAGGAACAAAGTATTTTTTGGCTTCCTGTGTGGTTATTTGTCAATTGTTATGATGAAAAACCTAATTTTTTCCCAGCAAAGCAAGACTTTTTTATTGGGAAAAAAAAAAAAAAAAAGATTATCTCAGGGCAATAGTTTTGGGGGTTTCCATAGGGTTTTCATGACTGTGACCTTTTGGAAGCAGATCACCAGACCTTTCTTCCAAGGTGTCTCTGGGTGGGTTTAAACAGCCAACCTTTCAGTTAGTAGCCCAGCACTTAATCATTTGTACCAAACAGAGACTTCATAAAATGATCATAAGCTTTCATTAATTCATTAAAATACTAATATAAAGTATTGACAGGGATATGAGAAACAGATGAATGTGCTCTGTAAATTAATCCAGACTTTTATGACAGCAATATGGCACAGAGCAATGGCAACTAAGAGGTATCAAACTGTTCGTGTCTTTCAAACAAGTTAGTTAATTTGGGAGTGTGTACGTCAAAGAAATAACTCAAAAGAAAGAAAAAAGAAATTATACCAAGACTTTCATAGCATCATTATTCATAATGGCCTCAAGTGAAACACTCAAATGCCAGTGAATAAAGACAATAGACTAGAGTCTATTGTTAATACCAAGAAATCATATGCATACAATGGTCTTCACAAACTAATTATAACTATGCACTTCACTATATCAAAAAAAGTTGGAAAACATTATCAAGAAAGTGAAAAGATGAGCTACAGAATGGGAGAAAATATTTGGAAACCATATAGTTGAAAGAGTCTAGTATCTGGAAGGAGCCCTGGTGGTGCAGTGGTTAAGAGCTCAGCTGCTAACCAAAAGGTCGGCAGTTCAAAACCAGCAGCCGCTCCTTGGAAACCCATGGGGCAGTTCTACTCTGCCCTATAGGGTCGGTATGAGTCGGAATTGACTATGAGTGGGAATCCACTTGACGGCAATGGGTTTGGTTTTGGTTTTAATATCCGAAATATATAAAAAAACTCTTAAAAATTGGCAATGAAAAGACAAACAACCCAATTCAAAAATGGGCAAAGGACTTGAAGAGACATTTCTCAAAAGAAGACATAAAAAGGACTAAAAAGTACACGAAAAGATGCTCTACATCATTAGTCATTAAACCCATTGTTGTTGAGTCTATTCTGACTCATGGCAACCCCATGCGTTTCAGAGTAGAACTGTACGTAAGGTTTTCAATGTCTGTTTGCTTTCAGAAGTAGATTGCCAGGCCTTTCTTCTAAGCATTGGTCATTAGGGAAATACAAATCAAACCACAGTTAGATACCACTTTACAAACATTAGGATGGCTATAATTTAAAAAAGAAAGACGAATAACAAGTATTGTTGAGGATGTGGAGAAACTGGACAGACCCTCATACATTGCTGGGGGGAATGTAAAATGGTGCAGTTACTGTGGAAAACAGTTTGGCAGTCACTTGACAAGTTAAATATAGAATTACCGTATGACACAGCAATTCTACTCACTCCTAGGTATATACTCAAAAGAAATGAAAAACAAGTACATGAAAGTTCATAGCAACATTATTCACAATAGACAAAAGGTGGAAGCAACTCAAATGTCTATCAACCGTTGAAGGGATGAACAAAATGTAGTATATTTTGTCAATGGAATATTATTCCGCCATAAGTAGGAATGAAGTACTAATACTTACTATGATGTGGATGAACCTCAAAAACATTATGGTAAGTGAAAGACGTCACCATGAAGACTAAGGTGTGCCTGACCCAAGCCATGATGTTTTTCAATCGCCTCATATTCATGCAAAAGCTGGACGATGAATAAGGAAGACCGTAGAAGAACTAACGCCTTTGAATTATGGGGTTGGCTAAGAATATTGAATATACCATGGACTGCCAAAAGAACGAAACACATCTGTCTTGGAAGAAGTACAGACAGAATGCTCCTTAAAAGCAAGGGTGGTGAGACTATATCTCACATACTTTGGACATGTTATCAGAAGGGATCAGTCCCTGGAGAAGGACATCATATTTGGTAAAGTAGAGGGTCAGCAAAAAAGAGGAAGACTCAACGAGATGGACTGACATAGTGGCTGCAACAACGGGCTCAAGCATAACAACAACTGTGCGGATGATGCAGGACAGGGCAGTGTTCCGTTCTGTTATACGTAGGGTTGCTATGAGTTGGAACCAACTCAACGGCACCTAACAACAACAAGTGAAAGAAGGAAGCCAGACACAAAAGGCCACATATTGTATGGTTCCATTTATATAAACTATCCAGAATAGCTAAATCCATAGAGACAGGAAGCAGATTGTTGGTTGCCAGGCACTGCTGGCGTAGTGGTTAAAAGCTACATCTGCTAATCAAAAAGGTTGGCAGTTCGAATCCACCAGGTGTTCCTTGAAACCTCTATGAGGCAGTTCTCCTCTGTCCTGTAGGGTTACTATGAGTCAGAATTGACTCGACAGCAACAGGTTTGCTTGTTTTTTGGCGCTGCGTGGGGTGTGGGGGGCGGGGGTGGCGATGGAGTATGGACTGCTTAATGGGTATGGGGTATCCTTCCGTAGTGATGAAAATGTTTTGGAGCTAGATAGAAGTGATGGTCGCACAATGTTGTGAGTGTACTAAATGCCACTGAACTGTACACTTTGCAATGGTTAATTTTTTTTTTTTGCAATGGTTAATTTTTTTTTTTTGCAATGGTTCATTTTTTGCTGTGTGAATTTCACCTTTATTAAAAAAAAGTTCAGAAAGTGTCTTAGTTGTTCGTTAAGTGATTTTTTTCTGTTTAATTGCATGAGTATTTTTTTTTATGTGTCTGTAATGTCTCCTAAACATTAAATTTCATGGATAATTTCT